GGGGCGTGATCCGCCGGTGGCCATCTTGGAGGCGGGGACGCGCGGAGGGAACGCCTGTGTGCATCTTCCTCGTCTTCTCCGAGCCTTAGTCCTAACACCCTGACCTCTCTGTCCCCCACTTTTCAGCTGCCAGGCAGTTACTCTCTCGGGCCCCCAGGTGAGCGTCAGCCTGGGAGCAACGCGGGTGCATGCGGGCGGCGGCGGCAGCAGGGGCTGAGGGCGCCGATGCCGGGCGGCCACTGGCGCCGTCCCTGCAAGGTGGGCTGTGCAGTGCAGCCCGCGCCCCGGTAGGCGACGGTCTTCCCGGCGCCCCGAGGGCGTTCATTCCCGGGGTGGGCTGTGGGAGCTTGCCGGGCGCACCCCGGGCGCTGGCTGGTGCGCTTCGCGGGGCGAGCCTCGGGCCGTACTGTGGGTGCGTTTCGGGGGTCTCGTCGCGGCGCTTCGCTCGTCCAGGTGCCGAGGCTGGTGCTCCTGGCCGCTTGGCTCCACCTGCCAGCGCCCTGGCCGCGGGGGGAGAGCGGCGGCTGGCGCCCTGACCTTAGCCCAGCCGTGCGGGCCTGGAGACGTGGCAGGGTCTGGGGAGGCCGCGGTCTCCAATTCACAGGATTTCGGCCGCTCCCGCCGTGGCTAGATCGACGGACAGGCCCGGCGGTGGGAAGGAAGGAGCTTGTTTCCCGGTAGGTTCCCGGGGCAGCGCCTGACTCCGCTCCGGGGGGCTTTTGTACTCGGCTCTTTGTTCGTTCCTGGGACCTACTTCAAGCAAATGTCCAGGGTAGCCCACATCCTAGATTGGCAGAATTTCTATCCAAGAGGGTTTTTGTCCTTCAAAGTAGTCTTCAGAGACCTCGTGTACATTTCTTCGAACACGACACATTTGGGCATTCCAGTCTTTCTTCTGTCAGCCGCTATTTAATTCAGTGAACATTTGTGGAAGTTTATTTTGGAACCGGAGCTGAGAATGCAAAGACAAGGAACTCCAGACTCTGCTCAGGCGCTCACTCTCTGCTAATAGAGACCATCGTTTGCACCTGTAATACATCAACAGTAATTGCTTTTAGTGCTTTTACGGTTATCAGAGCTCCATTATTTCATTTCTTTCTTGTATCCATATAAGTAGCCATCCACTTTAATGTTGATAAATATTTCTTTTTGTGCCCAGGCGTGAGCACTAAAACCTTTAACCTCTCTGACACTTCACTGTTATTTTATCACAATAGCTTTTCTTTAATAGAAGGTATTACATTTATGTATACAAATTTACCCAATATTGTCATTAAGCCAGTTCTCAAATAGTAAAGCTTTTAAAGGCTGAAATAAATTGACCAATCATCCCATGTTATAAGTTGTATTAATTGTGCAAGTTCTGTTGCCAACATATTTGTTAATGTTAGGAATGAGGATCACTTTTAAATAAGATTTCCATTAGCCACTGTAAGGATTTGGTAGCATCTGTAGTAGGAAATGAATGAAAAATGGGAAGATGAAGAGGAGACAGCTTTGGGAAGGTGGTGTGCATATTTGCCTCCCACTCCTCAGTCTACTTCAGACTGACTTCTACCCCCACTCCTTCCATGGAAACAGCTTTCACTACCTTCATTTCCAGTTTAACAAATCTATTGAATTTTTTAGATATCATCTTCTTTGTTTTCTGCAAATATTGATACTGTTGCCTATTTCTACCTTGAAACACACTGGCTTTTGGACGCCACAGTCTTCCTGGTTTTCTTTCTATCTTTCTGGTCATCTCTTGTCTTCCTTTGTACACTTGTCTTCTGCCTGGGTATTCTTCCGGGATTGGTTGGGTCATGTTTTCTTTTCACTCTGTATTCTCTTCTTAATCTCATCTCAGAACATGACTTTAGAGACTGAGTAAAGTGAAGGAACCCACATTTACGTGGTGTCTAAGCTGCAGGCCAAGTCATTGTCTTTCCTTGGATGTTTCAAGGGGCTTGAATTCAGCATGCCCAATATAAACATTACATAACCCACCCCCCAAAGGTATCAAATACCTTGACCTCTTCCAATGTTCCCTAAGTGAATGTCGCTGCCATCTCTATCCAGTTGTGCAAGTCAAGAATCTCCCTGTCATTGCCCCATTTCCAGTCTATCACTGAGTCTTACCACCTAAACATTTCTTGAATCCACTCTATCACCACCTTAGTCTATCTAGGTCTGAGTTTTTCAACCTTGGCATTATTGATATTTGGGGCCAGGTAATTTTTTCTTGTGGGGCTGTCCTGTGTGTTATGGGAATTTTAGTAGTATCCTAGCTGTTATCTACTAGATTCTAGTAATACCCCTCTAGTTCTGACAACTAAAAGTGTCTCTAGACATTGCCATATGAGCCTGGGTTGGGGGTCCAAATTCTCCTCTTCCCCATCTCCATAGGTGTGTAGGGTGTTATTGCTTCCTATCTGAACTACTACTGTATCCTTCTTAATGGTCTCTCTGCATTTACTCTGACTGCCCTGTGGCCCAATCTGCATACTGTCATCAAAAGAATCTTTTTAGCACAAATATGAATTGTCAAAAGCTGAAGTCAATCTAAATGTTTTTCAACAGATAAATGGATAAAACTGGTACATCTATAAAATGGAGTACTATTCAGCAGTAAAAAAAGAACTGTTGATACATCCACCTTGTTGGATTTCAAGGGCATTATGCTGAGCAAAAAAAGCCAATCCCAAAAGGTTGTATGTTGTGTGCGGTTCTATTGATGTAACATTCAAGAAATGAGAAAATGTTAGAAACATTTGGTTGCCAGGGCTTATGGTTGGTGGAAGGATACACCAGGAACAGCATGCAGGGGTTTCTTGGGAGTGATGGAACAGTTCTGTATCCAATGATTGTGATGGTGGTTACATGAATCGGTGCGTATGTTGCAACTTCATAGAACTACGCACACACACAAACACGTGCACAAATACAAAAACAGGCAAAATCCAAATAAGGTCTATAGTTTGGTTCCTAGTATTGTACCAACATTAATTTCCTAGGTTTGATCATTGTACTATAGTTATATAAGATGCTATTATTGGGAGGAGCTGGGTTCAGGGTACTATGAACTCTGTTCTGTTTTTGCATTTTGTGAATCTAAAATTTCTTCAAAATGTTAAAAGACAAAAAAATGTCATTCCCAGCTTAAATGCCCTATAGTGACTTTCTGCCTTAAAAAAACCAGTTCCTTAACCTGGCTTTTAAGGCTCAACATGATGTCTCCAGTCCTCATTCTTGTTTTCTCTTCTGTGCCACATGGGTTTTCTTGAATGTGTATTGTTCTCTCTACCTTGTTGGTGCCTTTATACTTCCTATACATTCACCTCTTTTGCCTAATTAAATTCTGCACCTTCTTCAGAACCCTGGGGGACCCTTTCCTGACCTTCAGGTCCAAATCATATTCCTGTCAAGAACTGTTCTTACACTCAGAACACACAATTCGGGCTATAATTCATTGCACATTGGTATTCTTTGATTATCTGCTAGGTTGGACTGTAAGTATCCTGTTTTTGTATCCATTGTATTTCCAGAGGCACCACTACAGTGCTTGGCAAGCAGTTGACCTTCATTGAATGGTAAAAAGTAAAAACATCAAAAGGGTTTTTGGTATATTTAGAAGTTTTGAATTTATGCTGGAGACAGGCTTGAAAATTTGTAATTTTTAAAGGAATTTCCTCCATATTTTGTAATCATTATCATCTGTTAGGACCCTGGTATCTAGTAGCATTTTTGCTATAGTTAACTTTTCTAAAACCTGATACATATCATTTAGCCATTACTGGGTATGTTTTAGAATGTGAGGAAAACTGAGAATTGAGCACATTTTATTATTATTATTTTTTAATGTTAGCAGGAGTAGCCCAAATACAGTGCTTTATGGGGAGAGAGGAAGTGTTTCAAAAATGTTGATTTTTATTTAAAATGTAATAGTGACTGGAACCTAGATATAAATCTAACATACATTCATGTGACAAAGTAAATTAGTAATTTACTGCTTGAAATATATTGGATGATTAATTATATTTAACATAAAATTATTTCCCAATAATAAGTATATATATGAACATGTCACAGATTGTTTGCACACTTAACATTCTCCCAGACTGTTGTTTTAGGAATTTTGACAGACCCTTCATCTGGAAATAAGTGGCATTATAAACATAAAGACATCTGTCTCTTAATGATTATTCTTTTTTTTTCTTTTTTTTATTGTTCAAACAGATGTCCCTTTTTCTCCCCATTGACCCATTCCACCCCACCCCCCCTTCACCATCCTTTTCCACACCCCTTTCCACACCATTGTCTGTGTCCTTGGGTTATGCATACATGCAGGTAAATTCTTTGGTTAATCTCTCCCCCTCCACACCCCCCCCTTCCCTCTGACATTTGTCAGTCTGATCCATGCTTCCATGTCATGAATCATTTCTGTTCATTGGTTTATTAAGTTCTTTAGATTCCACATATAAGTGAGATCATGTGATGTTTGTCTTTCTCTGCCTGGCTTATTTCGCGTAGCATAATATTTTTCAGGTCCTTCCATACTGTCCCAAATGGTAAGTGATCCTTCGTTAAAGCTGCATAGTATTCCACTGTGTAAATGTCCCACAGCTTTTTCATCCACTCATCTCCTGATGGGCACTTGGGCTGTTTCCAGATCTTAGCTATTGTAAACTGTGCTGCTATGAACATAGGGGTGCATACATTCTTTCTGATTAGTATTTCAGGATTCTTAGGATGTATTCCTAGAAGTGGGATCACTGGATCAAATGGCAGCTCCATATTTAATTTTTTGAGGAACCTCCATACTGTTTTCCATAGTGGCTGCACCAGTCTGCATTCCCACCAGCAGTGTACCAGGGTCCCCCTTTCTCCACACCCTCACCAGCACATGTCGTTTGTTGATTTGTTGATGGAGCCATTCTGACAGGTGTGAAGTGATACCCCATTGTGATTTTAATCTGCATCTCTCTGATTATTCTTTTAAATTATTCTCTAATATACAAGCTTTAAAAATATGCTTTTGACCACTGTGTAATACTTACTACATTTTTATGTTTTTACAGGATATCATAATTGAAGAAAAATGATGGAAGAAAGTGGAATAGAAACAACACCACCTGGGACTCCTCCACCAAATCCTGCAGCACTGGCTGCTGCTGCTGCTGCTGCTACTACTACTACTACTGCTGCTGCTGCGATGTCTTCCACCCCCGTTCCTTTAGGTACATGGGTTGTATAGCATCTAGTGTGTTTTGAGGATAGTGAAGAGACTGTTATCTTCTTTGAGTCAATTAAAAAAGAATTCATATATTAAAACTTCTCTGATCTTGCCGAGATGAAGGGAAATAGCCTTTTTTAATTTAAGCCCAGAGACAGAAAACATATATATTTTGCTCTGTAAAGGTAAACTTTTGTTCTTTATATTCATGTTGACTATAAATCATCTTTCTTATGACAAAAATATTCCAAAAAGCTTTGTCTCATGTTCTATGACTTTGTGGTGATGGACCTTCTGGAAAAGTTTTTGAGCCTTCAGAATGTAGATTTTTATGTTCATATCAGCTTTATTTTATTAAAACACATCAAAACAAACAAAATGCAAAGGTATACTTATGAACAGTACCATAACTTAATTTTTATAGCAGCTTCTTTTATTTATGGGAGTTGTTATATATTTTAAATTACACATTTTTTAAATCTTGGTATGTGGTCTGTTATATTTAAACATTTTACAAGAAAAAAGTCATGAAAACTAGTGAAAAGCATCTCCAATTTTGTTTTTTTTCTCTTCCTTTTTTTGTAGCTGCAACCAGTTCTTTTTCTTCTCCAAATGCATCTTCTGTACAGTCCTTGCCACCACACGCATCGTCTACCCCTCAGCCATCCCTTCCTCCTGTGAGGCCTTCAGCATCATTGCCTTTTGTGCCTCCTTCACCAGTTCCTTCTGCTCCGCCACTTGTTACTGCAATACCACCTCCTGTTTCTCCACCAGCTGCTGCTGCCCTTACTAATCCTCCTTTATCCCACTTCCCAACTTCAACTTCTGCCCCAAGTACTCTTCCATCTGCACCCCCTTCGGGTCCTCCTACATCAGGATTTTCTGTTGGTTCAGCTTACGACATTACAAGGGGACATGCAGGAAGAGCTCCCCAGACACCCCTGATGCCATCATTTTCTGCACCTCCAGTAACAGGTAATCCTCTCTTACTGATGCTTTGAAATAAATGGTTATAGCTAATGGTTGTTTTTTTTTTAAGTAACCACTTTATCAAGATACAATTTGTATACCATATGATTCTGACATTTAAAGTACACAATTCACTAGTTGTTAATGTATTTACAGAGTTATGCAACTGTCACTACAATTAATTTTAGAACCATTTAATCACCTCAAAAAGAAACTGCTTAACTACTTGCAGTCACTCCCTACTTCCTCCCAAATCCTCATAGCCCTAAGCAACCACTAATGTAATTTTTGTCTCTATGAATTTGCCTGTTTTGGACATTTTATGTAAATAGAATCCTATAATATGCTGTCTTTTGTAACTTGCTTCTTTCTCATTTAATAATATTTTCAAGGTTCATCCATGTAGTGTGTATCAGTACTGCATTCCTTTTTATGACTGGGTAATATGCCATTGAATGTATATACCACATTTTGTTTATTTACTTCATCAGGGGGTTGTTTTTACTTTTTGGCTATTATGAATACTGCTTTTATGAACATTTGTGTATAAGCTTTTGTGTGGACATATATTCATTTATCTTGGGTATGTACATAAGCATGGAATTATTGACTTGAAAAACTGCCAGACTATTTTCCAAAGTACCTCTCTCACCAACAGTGTATAAGGGTTCCAGTTTCTCTGCATTAATGTTTTAAACTCGTTTCTTTGACTTCCAGAGTTTCCTATTCTCATGTTTTTGATATTTTAATTAAAATAAAGTTGATGTAACTTTGTATTTGATTTTCATATGTTGTAAAACTTAGTAGTACATGATTAGTATATAGAATGTCAGACAGAATTCCAAAATTTTGTCCTAACATTTTGTGCATTTACAGAGAAAAATAGTTTTTTTTTAAAGCTTTACTTCAAAAAATGATCAGGAATGGTCCAAGGAGCAGTTTTATTTAGCCTGGTAAAAATTCAAAACCAAATAAAAGCTCCTATATGCTGTAAGTTGGTGGTATTGGGCATTTCCTTTTCTAGGTCACCTATACCTTCTATTGGCTTCTCTGGAATGGTTGTTGGAAACCAATATAAAAACTTCATCAGTGTCATTTTCTGCCTATTGTTTATCATTTTAGGAAAGGAAGCAACTTTGTTGTAATTGTTATTTTATTTAAAAAAATTTTTTTAAATAATATTTTTATTGATCTCAGAGAGAGAGGGAGAGGGAGAGATAGAAACATTAATGATGAGAGTCATTGATCCTCCACTTCCCGCATGCTCCCTACAGGTTTAGGTGATTCTCTGAGTTCATAACCCAATCTTGAAATGCCTGGGTATATAGTTACATTATTTAAGCTGTTTTAAACTGCTCATCTCATATTGTATCTTTTTAAAGGAAATAGTGTATGGAATAAGTTACATATATTAAAACATTTTTGCCATTAACTAGGTATTTTGCCAACCCCCATTACTCAGCAAGCTAGTTTGACATCTCTGGCCCAGGGAACTGAAACCACATCAGCCATTACTTTTCCAGAGGAACAGGAAGATCCTAGAATTGTTAGAGATCAGGATGAAGCATCTGCTGGTGGACTCTGGGGTTTTATTAAGGTGAGCTGTATTTACTTTAAAAACCATGCTTAACTTTTAAATTATGAAACTAATAGATGTTCATTAGAGAGAATTTTGAAAATATAAAATGGTATAAGGAAAAAATTCTTTTTATAGTCTCTTTACCAGTTTTCGATAATTCCTCTCAATCTTTTATATGTGTATACCTATATAGATGTATATCTTTTTAAGCCAAAATCAAATTGGGGTAGTGACATGTGGACACACGAATACTATTTTGTTTTTTTGTTTGTCTTTACCTAGCATGTATCAGGAACATCTTCCTAGCCATAAAATATCTTCAGAAATTGTTTTCTCTTTGGCTGCTTTGCCTTACATGCCATGGCATTTATTTGCCATATTTTATTTTACTAATGTGCTTATAAAACTATGATGAGCACTCTTATATGCACATCTTTGTATTCATCTCTGTTTTATCAGGATTAATTCCTGATGAATGTCCAAGAGAACATTTTAAAAATTACTGATACATATTGCTGTTTAGAAAGGTTATACCAAAATAGACTGTTAAAGCATTTTTCACTTCGCTAGCCCTGATTAATTAACTTGAAGCACAATATTTTCTAATTTGATAGACACACAAAAAATACCTTGTTTTAATTTGCATTTCTTTGTTACTGAATTTGAACGTTTTTCAAGTGATTTATTTGCCAATTTTTTTTTGTGTGAAGTCTCTATGTTCTTTGCTCAGTTTTGAATTGGGGCAATTTTCTTTATGAATTCATAAGAGCTGATAGAGTAGTAAGAATATTTTATTATATGCTATTATAGGTTGCCGTTTCCTTCATTTTAACCTTACATTTTATTATACTTTTTGACACAAAAGTTTCTAAGTTTTCAGGACTTATTTCTATTAGTGTTTTTTCTTTTCAGTTTTTTTCATGATAAAAATGACCTTTTCCACCACAATACATAATAAATTTTTTTTCCCACTTAACCAATTTATATGAGGTAGAAGTCAACTGTAATTTTCTTTCAACCACTTAATTGGTTGTTCCAACATAATACGTCAGGGATTTGATATGTCACCTTTATCTTAGTTACTGAATTGTTGGTAAATGTGAGTTTCTGGGCTTTGTATTCTATTCCACTGCTCTGCCTGTCTTTGCAATAGTACCACACTATTTTAATTATTGTAACTGTAATATTAATATTTATTGAAAGTCTACTCTGCTGAGGTGGGGACACGGGGGAGTATTCATTGATGAGTAAGCCAGGTCCGTTTTAAATCTCTGCATCCATAAAGACACATCAGTATTTGGTTGTATAAGTTTGCTGATTTTTCTTTGAAATTTTTCTTTACTAGTTTTTTCCATTTATTTTTCTTGATGAAATTTGGAATTGCTCCATCAAGCCCCCCACCCCCCAAGATTCTGCTGATAGTTTGGCTACAATTTAATTATATATTAAACATTTTTATATTAGTAGGTGGTTAAGATTTTCCACATTTTTCATGTTTCATGAAGATGGCATTTTTCTAAGGTGGTTTTTACATCCCTCTGTGTTTTTCGTTTTTGTTTTTTTTACTTTTATTAGTATTTATTTTATGTTGAATTTACTCGTGGGCCGTTAAATTTTTGTTTCTTCTGGGATATCTTTTGCTTCTCTGCCACCATCTCTTCTGGCTTAGGAACAATCTGCTCTTTTTCAGTAAGGATCATCTCAATGTGGCAGGGAGAGCTCAAGTATGGGTAATCCCCCCATGAGCTTTGTAAGTTCTACATCTCATCTTGGGAGCTTTGTTCACCTGGATGTGCTCAATGACCAGAGAATCTACATCTAAACCCTTAAGTTCAGCATTGCTCTCTGCATTTTTAAGCATGTACAGCAAAAATTCAGAACTCTTTGGGCCACTGACCCTGTGTCCAGCCCCACTGTTTCGCTGGGGCACACCTACCAACCCCACCATTGTAACGACGGAATGGCACACATTGCTTCTGTAAAGTGGCATCCTTCAGATACTTGGTAGCTTTTCGAATATGCCTACCCTTGATGGCCTGGGCAGTTTCTCAAATGTTCTTAAAGTGACCACGAAGATTTGAACCTCTTGATTTGCATGATTTTGTGGGGTTTTCTGGGTCAAGTGAATAGCGAACCATTTTCAGAGGTCACCTCTGGCTGCTTTTGGGAAGAGGAAGCATCTCTGTGATTTTCAAAGGTTTCCTTTATATAAGGACTGTCACTTCCTTTTCTTGTTAAAAGTGTGTCATTTATCAATTGAGATACCCAGTTCAACTCTACAGGTCTTGTGAATAACTTCTGATAATCAGTGTAAGGTTGGTTGACAGTCTTCAATGTCAGTTAACAAGCTCATCTTTTTTTCTGAATCACCTTAGTTTAATGGTAGGTTGGAAGAGGTAGAATCATGGTTGTTAGCCAGATGCCATCTTGAGTCATTGCTCTCTGTAGTATCTTTTACCATGGGAGAAGTATAGCACAAAAGGGAAGTACTCAGACCAGGCTCCTTCTAATAGTGTGGTTTTAAGAATCAGGTGGGTGCAAGGCCGATCAAGGGAATAGGTCTGGCTTAAAAGGGAGAATTTGGGTATGAAAATGAGAAATGGGAACTAGGAAAAAGAGCACACTTTGGTAGAACATAAGTGGAATATTTTATGTTAAGGTAATAGGTAACTGGGGGAATAGATAGGAGAAATGTTTCACTATTTTTATTTTTTTATTAGGGAACAAAGAATGGGTCTTTGGAGACATCTAATTACAGTCTTTATTTGGGACCTTGATGGGCAAGTTTTGCCTAGTCTATGAAATAATATTTACATAGAAATGAAATAAACATGTATGCATGCACACATATATGTATGTGCAATATACATACATCCCTGACCAGTGCTACTCAAAGTGTGGTCTGCAGTCTATTGTGGGTCTGTGATAGATAAGAAGAGAAATTGAGAGTAAGCATTTTGAAACTTAATAGCAATTCAGCATTGCCATAACCTTTTTTTCTTATATTTTACAATGTGATTCATTGGAAACCTAAAAAGATAATTTCATTATCAGGTGATCATGGTGGTCATTGCTTAGAATGGATATTTATATGGGTTTTTTTTGCAGGGTGTAGCCGGGAATCCTGTGGTGAAATCTGTGCTTGATAAGACAAAACATTCCGTAGAAAGCATGATTACCACGCTGGACCCCGGCATGGCTCCATATATCAGTATGTACTTAAAATAGGCAAGCATCTGCATTATTTTTTAAAAGTATGTACCAGTGCCAGCCACTAATTATAATTCCACAGGTTTTACAATCAGTGGAACTCCTCTTATATTCTTGGTGTTTTTAATTCATCTTTTTCTTAGTCACCATTAAATGCATTTTGAAAACTTCTCAGAATAAACTTTGGAGAAGTAAAAACAGTATGAATTATTAGTGTCCACATTTAATGATTTTAAGTGTAAATGTGATTGTTGCTTTAGATGATTTTTGATATTTGAAGTGATGCCTTGTTCGTATTTGGCTTTGACATTTCTCCAGTTAATTATTTTAAATAAGTATGTTCATGCTTACCTCAGTAATGTTTTTAGAGGAGATTAATCTATTAATATCTGATTACTAGGTTTGTTGTGGAAGTTATTTTAACTACGTTTGAATCCTCATTACCAAAAATCCTCCAGACAGTTGACATAGACACACTGTCTGCCCTTTAATTTCTAATGTATATATCCAGTATGTGAAAAAATATAATCGCTTAGTGGTATCAGTGACCAGTTATTAGTAATTTTTTTGAACATAACTTACAAGCCAAAGCTGTGTACCAGGTTCCTGAATGTAGATTTTTAATGGCAATAAAAAGTCAATAGCTTTAATGAGTCTTGACTATGTTGGTAGTTTACTATCTAGTAAATGTCAAAGGAAAAGATGTAACAATGATAAGTACCATTTATTAAATGCTTGCTCTGCCAGGCACTGATTCTCATAAGAGGTCTGCAAGGTAGGTATTATTTTCCTCAAGTTTTAGAAGAGGAACCTGGGTTCAGAGAGATTTAAGTTATTGTAGGTCACATAGCTTGGTGGAACTAGATTGAACCCGTGTTTTTTTACACCTAGCCACTTTGCTTCCCTTGAAGTAAAAATTGAATCAGGAATTAAGTCAGCTGAATTATTCTTGGTGTTTGTTACTGCCAAAGGACTTAGAAATCAGGCCCTATCATGTATATTCATTTTATATATTCATAATAATAAAGTTTGACAATGAATGCATCATATATATTCTCCACAAGCTCCTATTTTGAATGAGAAAAAGGATTTTTGGAGCTCTTGCTGTTTTAATAGGTACTGTATTAGACTGTGAAAGCAATTATTTATTCTTAGAGCAAGCCCTGTGAGTTGATAGGTGTTTTTCTATGAAACAAACTCAGTGACTTCCTCAAGGTAACAAAGCTAGAAAATGATCATTAGGAATATAATCCAAGACTGTTTCTCAAGCCAGTAGTCTGCATGACATCAAGAAAGAGTCAAAGTGAAGTTTCTATTATTAGATAATATCATAACATACAATCTTAATCAGTTAGCTTTAAAAAGTAAGGCAACAAAAGCACGACCATTCTTATCTAATAAAACTCAAAGTGAAACAATATTTTTATTCAAATGTTCTAGGAATCTCTTAATCATTTTAAAGGTATCAAAAAGGTACGAGAACTATTAGAAATTTTAACACAATTTAACTTTCTACATTCTTTTAATTAGTTCTCCCTTTGTTATGAATGGCAGCGCTAAGTCAAAGCCTAGTGGAGTAGTACTCAGCTAGAGTTGAGGTATGTCCCATATGGAAGGAAAAAATTAGGAAAAAGTATACTTTTTCTCTTCTCTCCTGTGTGAGGTATTACTTTTAGGTTTTACTAACTTCTGAAATTCTAGTAAAGATGGGATCTGTGGAACAAATGTCAATCAGGACAAAAGGGATCTATAATAAAAAACCCAGATATTTAGAAAATATATTCATCTGTTCCACAAGATATTAGGAAAAACATAGCATTGTTTCCGGGTCAAAATGTTTTATAGTACAAACAGCTTTCTTGAGAAATCTTTTACCAGTGATAGCCTAATGCCAAAGTAGCAAAACATGCTGTGCTTAGAACCAGGCCTTTGAATTCAGTGTATTGCAAAACGTTAGATCAAGATTTTAAAAATAATTAGACATACTTGATTAAATTACTCTAAATAGTACACAGGTTTTTTAAATAATTGAAATACTAAATATGTTTTAAAATAATTTAATTTTATATTGCTTAGCCTTTTAAAATTTCACGCTTTATAAAAGTTGGTGTTTCATTTTTAAAATATATGCTTGCATATTTGTTAGGTCAGTAATAGATGTATAATTTATAAATACCCATTTATTTGTGGTATATAACAAAGTTTTCATTCCCACATTTTAAACTATTTTCTAGATAAAAAGCATTATCTCATGGTAGTCCGTGTTTAGTGCAGAACTTCTGTGCAATTCTGACAAATTATCATCTCGGTAATTTTCTATAAGTAGAGTAACCCAAATGTGTAGCTTATATTTCACAAGCCAGATATTTATTGCTGAAGAACTGGCAACTATGGTATCCATATGGTGGTAGAATTTTATGCATAATAGATGTCTGTCTTTATTAACAGCAGAAAAACCATTTTGATTTACAACCTTAAACATGCAATAAATGTGTCTAAAATTTAAACTAATCAGAAAATGAAACTTTGCTAAATTAATAGAGCAGTATAATAGAAAAACTGTTTTCTCAGTGGCCCTAACATCATTTCTCAAATTGATATCTGTGGAACACTTCTTAGGAGCCGTTATTAGATGCTAAAAAAGTGTTCCATGAACAGATTATGTGTGGTAGGTACTAGGTTAAAGTCATGATTTTTAATTATTGAATTTCTCAGAATCTTTATGCTAATGTACCTTGTAAATTTCCAAGAAAGAAATACGGTGTGCAGCATCTCTCAAGCTTGTTTGACCATAGCACGCTGTCTTCAGGGAGAGCTACTAATATATTCTGGAACAGTATTTCATAGAATGCAGAACAATGTGGGGCTGTATTTGTGGCAGATGTAATAATCACAACCATCAGAAGGTATGTGCCATCTTCTGCTTGCAAATAGACTCCCTCAGATAATGCATTAAATTCTCATTTTTAAAAGTAAGGAAAATTTGGTAGTTCTGGGCTAAGCTTGTTGGAATAAGATGCCTATCATACATTGTTCTTTGAGCTTAGTAATAATTATGCAAATAAAATGTCAGCTTATGATAGTAATTATGAGAATTTCATTATTTTAATTTGGAATTGAAATTTTCTCCTGTTCTTTGTAGAATCTGGAGGTGAACTGGATATTATAGTGACCTCAAATAAAGAAGTAAAAGTTGCTGCTGTCCGAGATGCCTTTCAGGAGGTCTTTGGCTTAGCTGTGGTTATGGGAGAGGCTGTTCAGTCCAACATTGCCCCACAACCAGTGGGCTATGCAGCTGGATTAAAAGTGAGTAATAGAAGACCTTCAGGGTATAGAAACTGGCAGTTAATTTCTTCATAATTCTGTTAATAACCCTGTGGTCTATATGGAGCTAATTGGTTTTTACATAATGAAATGATTAGCTTGGTTTAATTAGACAACTCTAGTGTTATGAAGATATAGTGGAGTTTTAATTTAAAGAAACAAGGTGGGTTTTGATTATTGGGGGAGGGGAGGAAACACATGCAGAGAACACAAAAAGTAAGTAGTCCTAAGAAAGATAATCTTAACCCACTGTTAACATTCAAATCAATTACTAAAGGGATAATAAAAAACTTACGGGATTTAAGTATTACTATCACTCTTAATACTTTACACTTACGTATTTCTTCAGGGTTAGGTTTCTGTGAGCCTCTAATCACAGCATTTTTGCCAATCAATACATAACTTTGTTTTATACCTGCTTCTGTTTAAATCCACCTTAATGTATATATATTTGATTCATTAACATTAAACTCTCACAGTTAACAGCACTGTAACTCATGCCTAAGTGATGCTTATCTAACATGCATATTTTCTTCAGAGCCATTTTAAAACAGCAAAATCACCAAGAAAAAGCACAACTGAAAAACATAGCACTAAATAATTTTCTTGAAAAGCCATAGTTATGACCATTGTTGAATAGTTTATATGTTACAAACACAGACATAGTTAATACCTGTAAGCATTTATTTAAACCTATGAAATTTTAATTCTGCAAACCAAGTCTCTTAGTTTTAAGTCCTTAGATACAGGGTAAGTTCTATGGGCCTTTGCGTTGTCCTACTTCAATGTGGCCTCTCTATTACCTAATTTTTGATCCCCTATACTTTTGGAAAATAAAGGTAAAATTCCATTCTCAAAACATTGGTAGGGAGTAATATTAAAACTTCTATAATTTTGACTCCAAAAGATGCCACATTTAATTAATGTAGTAAGAGGAGAAGAGAGGTCAATATAACCCCCTCTTCATTTTCTCTCATGGATTCTGTAAACAGAAAAAGAATTAGACTTGTGTGCCCAGCTCACTTCTATCTCTCTTACAGGTGCTAATCAATTTCAGTAAAATATTTTGTGACCCTTAAGTATAAAGCCCAGTGCTGTAGGGCAAACTTACTCTGTTCCCTGGAAGCATAACACCTAGGAATATTTTGTTGTATAAACTTTATAATTAAAATTCAGCCATAGCTACCTCTTGGGAGGAGTGAATTAGGCAAATTTATAATATCCAGTGTAAAGAATTAAGTTTCTTATATTCCTGCCTCCTCACTCAGTATTATTAGATTTAGTGAAGCCATATTTACACTAGATTCTTAACATTAGCAGGATAGGCCTTCAAAAGCCCTTTATTTTTTCCTTTGTTCAGTTTTTCGTGTAGTAAGTTCTTATTGAAGGCAATTAGGTTGGACACTGTTTGATACCAGAGATGTAAGAGTGAACAAAAATACACAATCTTGGTTTTATTGTAAATATCTTCTTTCGTCCTTACCTTTATAAGCTAATGTCTTAGTTTTCACTTTCTGTTTATTTCAGTTACCTTTGAAATAAATTGTCTCTAGAAGTGTCTTAGCTTTCTCAATTTTCATTTGAGTAAGAATTGACTGCCTAATCTCATTCACTATTAAGCTCTTCTGTCCATAATAAAAATAGGTATTTATCCATGGCTAATTTTATTTAAAATTAAGATTTTTATTTTGCTTTTGAAAACATTCTCACATCACTCATGATCACTGTTTATGAAGTGATTCAGATAAAAGTAGTGAACAGCAACCCTGTTTTCATTAGTCCAGTTTTTAGTTTTTTTTAATATACCTTTATTGATTTCAGAGAGAGGAAGGGGGGAGAGAGAGACAGACAGAAACATCAATGATGAGAGAGGTGTCACCGATCGGCTGCCTCCTGCACATCCCCAGCTGGGGGATGGAGCCCCACAACCTGGGCATGTGCCCCAACTGGGAATTGAACCGCAGTCTCCTGGATCCTAGGTCAACGCTCAACCACTGAGCCACGCCTGGCCAGGCTAGTTTTTAGTTTTTTACAAACAGATATATTTCATGATTTTGACTTATCTGTACAGTGTTCCTAGTCCCTCAATTTTGTTTCATTAATGGTAATAATATTCCTGAATGAGCTTTGGTGTAATGTCTGTACTTCCAGTTTTAAAAAACTCATTTTTGGCGCATATTTTGAGGTTATATTCTAAAGGGAATAAGAAGAAAGAGAATAAACATTTACCATTGATATGATTGCCTACTTAGAAAATTTGAGAGAAGCAACTAGAAAACTACCGGGATTGATGAAAGATTTTTATTCAGTAAGAGGGCACCTTGCCAGATTTAACATTGGAAAACACAGTTTTCTTATATTAGTAATAACCATTTAGAACATAGAATATAAAAAAGAATCCATTTCACAGTAGCAACCAAAACAATAACGGACATTATTCCAAACTGTTAGTACTGAGAGGAACATGACTGGACTTTTTCACTTTTTGTCTTCTGTATTGTTTGAATGAATGAATATGCATTTGCATAAACGTATGCATGTATTGCTTATATAATCATACATTAGTATATTTAATATTGAATAATTTGGAATGGTTCCTAACCTACACTGTTGTTCAGGGTGCCCAGGAACGGATAGATACCTTGCGACGAACTGGAGTGATCCATGAGAAACAGATTGCTGTGTCAGTAGAAAACTTCATTGCAGAATTGCTTCCTGACAAGTAAGAGCTTTTTTTTTCTTTTCACTTTAAACATAGTTATAATTTTTTTTCTTGTAATGAGAACTCTTAAGATCTTTCTTAGCAACTTTCAGATGTACAATACACTATTAACTGTAGTCACCATGCTGTACTTTACATTTCCATGACTTATAACAAAGTTTGTGCCTTTTGATCCCCTTCACCCATTTCACACAGCCCCCAGCTCCAGCCTCTGGCAATCACCAATCTGTTTGCTATATGTTGAGTTCTGTTTTTTAAATTTGATTTTAGATTCCATACATAAGTCAGATCATACAATATTTGTCTTTCTCTGACATAGTTCCCTTAGCATAATGCCCTCAGGTCCATGTATGTTATCGTCAATGGCAAGATTTCCTCTTTTATGGCTGAATAATATTCCAGTGTGTGTGTACCACATTTTCTTTATCCAGTCATCCTTTGGTGGACACTTAGGTGGCTTCTATGTCTTGGCTTTTGTAAATACTGCTGCAGTTAACATGGGGGTGCAGGTATCTTTTTAGTGTTTTATAATTACTTGGAAGTGGGTTGCTGGATCATATGGTATTTCTATTTTTAGTTTTTTGAGGTACCTCCATACTGTTTTCCATAGGGGCTGCACCCATTTACATTACTGCCAACAGTGTATAAGTGTCCCCCTTTTCTCCACATCCTCGCCAACAGTTGTTATCTAACAGGTGTGAGGTGAGAGCTCGTGTGGTTTGGGTTTTCATTTTCTTGATGATTAATGATGATAGAGCATCTTTTCAGGACATCTGGTAGTTTTATGATTCTGGTTAGTTAAAATGCTGGTGGTGGTACAGTTGACTTCACTTATAAGTATCTTTTAAATGGAAAAAGTTTTTTTATTTGATGTCATGAAACTTTTTAAAGACTGATTCATTGTGAACAATTCAGAAAATGTAATTAGAAGGATTTATCAGGAATGAGGAAAGGATTTGTTATTCCTTCTGAGCTTATTTCTTAATTTGCTAATAACTTCTCCAGTTGGCTCTATATTAATGATAACGATGGTAATATAGAATAAAATTTTCCATATGTTCTCAAATGACATTTTAAAATATTACACATTATAAACTGTATGTTCAAATGAGTAAATTTGGCAGTTGCGTTATTTGAACTGGGTCAGTGGAGATGGCCACTCTTCCTCCTTCCTGGGGCAGGTGAAGTTGAAAGATAGTAGGAAGAGGGAGACTGAAAGTGTCTTCAGCCAACAGCACCAGTAGTGGAAGAAGTGGAAGAGGTTTGGTGGGTATGATAGGTATTGCCGTTTCAGATTTAACCGAGTTGAAGAGAATGGGATATCCGGGTTGACAATTCAGGAGCGTAATAGTATTTTAGAGAACATTTTAGGGAACAAAGGGGACTTTTGAGTTCTTCTAATGTGTATGCACTGGCACCACACTGATTACACAAGAACCTTCCATGATAATTGACAATTACTTAATTTTTTGTTGTTCCCCATTCTTTTTCTCTTCTTGGAATTAAGCCATCAGGAGAATTTTATATATTGTTTTTATGGATTGTCCTCTTGAAAATAGATTAGAAAAACATTTCCTTTTTGAAATCTGCTAATATCTTGTCTTTCCATAACTTATTTAGCACAAAACTTGAAACTCACATTGTGTTGCAGATGGTTTGATATTGGCTGTTTGATAGTTGAAGATCCCGTCCATGGCATTCGTCTGGAAACATTTACTCAGGCTACACCAGTGCCTTTGGAATTCGTACAACAGGTTAGTTTTCCCCTTTTTCATTATGCTTCAGGGAAACTTGCAGTATTGTCTTCAAAATAAAAATGTGGATAGATTTTTAAAATTGGAAATAGCTTTTTTTCTTGTATTCCTTTTATGTTGTATTCCTTTTATGTTTCAGTACTTCCTTACTTTTGTTTCCCAGCTCTCTTTGAAAAGATAGTGACTAACCATGTAATATAGTTCCTAATTTTTATAATTGTGTTCCTTACCCTAAGAAAAAGGTTGACCACTTCTGCTGGTTTTATGTTCACCTTTCCTTTAGTTTCCCCATTATCTCAGTTTTATTTCCCCCTTTACCTTCCTTTCCTTCGTCTTGATCGTCCTCTCCTTACTTTTTCCTCTTTGGTGTTAAGTAGAAGCCCATTTTTTTAAGTTTAGAAACCTTAGTGAAAGGCTCATGTCTTTACTTATCCACATTGGTTCTACACTGTAAGCATAAATGTATGATTTTGATTCTTTCTTGAACAAAATGGAATGTAAATACGTATTTACATTGGAATCTTTGTAATCTTAAGTGGCTTTTTTGTTGGCTTTTTCCTCTCCTCCATTTTATAAAATTTCCATCATATTTGCATTCATGCATATTGTTAAATGCCATTTTAAAAATTTGAGACTCTGATACAAAGCTATGTAAGAAAATACATGTATGCCCTCACATATAAATTACGCATAGTGTTTATAGAATCCCTGAAAGCAGCTTGTGGCTCTTATAGGTTTACAGCTTAGATAGGGACCAAGAATGGATGCTTGGAATATTCAAGTTTTATTGAACCTTTTACTTATACTTCTAAAAAGAAATTATGGTATAAGATTTTTATAGATATTAACATTAAACTCACTCCAATATGAAGGTGATTACAAGACTGTAAGCAGATATTATGTATATTGTTCTACCAATAAATTAGAAAAATTGGACAAAATGGTTGATTTTCTAGGAAAACGTAAATTGCCACAGTTGATTTAGGAATTAGTATTAGATTGAACTATATGGAATTGCTGTCTTTTAAGTAAAAAAGTCAAACATTGGCAATTTCATATTATTCAACCTTAATCATCTCAATGAAGCTTTGTAAAAGTAATTTTATTAACATAAGACATCTTTCTGGCAGAGCTCCTAAGAGCTATAAATTGGGATGAAGACCGACTATATTTCTTATTAGAGTCTACCCCTTGGTCTTCAAACACAGATCCCTTATAGTGAAACAACAATCATAAAGGTCAAAAGATACTGGAATCCCATTTAGTCGTTATATGATCGACTAGACAGTTATGAAAATGTTTTCCCAAGGTGAGGCCACTCAGGTTTGCAGGTTGCTACTTCATCTGTTCACGTTCCAAAAGCAAAAGTATCAGCAATATATGGCTTCACCCTTTCAGGCATCTGGTACAGGCATACTTCACAGATGTATTGTGGGTTTGGTTCCGGACCACCACAATGCAATGGTATCTCAATAAAGTCACGAATTATTGTGTTTCCCTGTGCACATAAAAGTTATACTTACACAGTATTGAAGTCTGTTAGGTGTGCAATAACATTATCTCTATGAAAAACAGTGCACAGACCTATCTGAGCCTGTTGGGAAAAAGGGTGCTAATTAACTTGCTTGATGCAGGATTGTCACAAACCGTCAATTTGGTAAAGTAAAAACCAGTATCTGCAAAGCAAGAGTGAAATGAAATAAAACAAGATATGCCTTTATAATCGAGCTAAGAGACAGTATCATCTCCTGCACTGAGCCTTTTGAGTTGTTAGTGTAATATTTGATTTCCCTTGTTACATAAATCATTTGTTCATTCTCTTACCTATAGCTACTATTTTTCCTTCTCTCCATTTATACCCAAACTTTTCTACCTTTGGAAGACATTAGGTTTGGCCACTGTGCTTGTCTACAGTCCAGCAAGTGTGTTTCCCTCAGCCCAAATGGGCATCCTTTTAATAGGCTAGGTTCCCATTGCCCTCCTGCCTGACCATATGGCGAGGCCATTGGCCACTGCCCATGAATCAGTAAAAACCGAAATGGGGGATTTTTCCATCACTGCTAGGAAAACAGCATGCACTTCAGCCCAACCAGCTTGTTTGTTTTTACCTTAAGTCAGAGTAGTGACCTTCCAAATGGGATGTTGTCTTTTCACCTTGGAATTGCCATTCGTAAACCAAGGAGCTCTTCCAGTTGAGAGCTGTCCATGCAGCAGGTGGTTCTAGCAGCTGCTCAGGTGGCTCCAGAATTGGTCCTACAAAGAAAGAGACTCCCTGCTTGTGTCTCCTCCTTGCATTCCCTAAGCAGCATGATCCTGTGTAAACCATTTCCATATCATTGTAGAACTCTTCTGGTCACTGCCATCCCTATTAGGGCATTTCTTCAATAGCACCTAGACATTATGGGTATATTTCAGGTTTCAACATCAGTGTATGTCCTTCAGTCATAGGAGTAGCTTAATGTCCAATGACAAGGTAGTAGATGCTCCTCAAATGGAAATTCTCTAGTCCAAAGTCCCAGTAGTCACTGCTGGGAGGCACTCACAGGTTTTTGCCATAAGCCCCAGTCTACACTCCCCATAGGGTTACGGCACAGAGATTTTTGCCCCTACCAGCACCGCTGTGCTACATGTATGACCACTGCAAAAGGACAATTTTTATTTTTAGGAATATATATTGGGGGGGAAAATAGATGTAATTCTCAAAGACCAAAGCATCAAAACTGTATATACTAATAAAATAAAACTATATATACTGATATAGAAACTTAGGACATATTGCTAAGTATGAACAAAATTTCTTAGATTGCTTAGATTTGAACAAAATGAGCTTAATGTGGACATTTTAAACAAATTAGATGTGTGAATAGCATGTTGATTCTTTCTTAGCCTTGTAACTTCATACAGTTGGCAGCATTAGCTGTTTCTCAGGGTTTGTAGTCATCTGTATTAAAAGGAACCTGAGAGACTTTGAAATATCACTTATAGCTATTTCTAATGATATTTTGAATATACTACAAATAATGTATCATTTTTCCATAGGCTCAAAGTCTAACTCCCCAGGACTACAATCTGAGGTGGTCAGGCCTTTTGGTGACAGTGGGCGAAGTCCTGGAAAAGAGTTTAGTAAATGTCAGCCGGACTGATTGGCACATGGCTTTCACTGGCATGTCACGTCGACAGATGATCTACAGTGCGGCCAAAGCAATAGCGGGCATGTATAAACAGCGCCTGCCACCCAGGACCATGTGAGCAGACTTACCTAGGATACTGAGATGTCCTCACTTTGAGCTTGGTGGTAAAGAAGAGATTTTACCTTCTTAAATTGGATAGCTTCAGTGATCCAGCAATTTTGGTAATTTTCATGTAGGCTGCAGCTTTTCTTCCCCCTTTAAAAAGGCATGGTGTCATGTCAGTAGATGAAAAGAAACAGATCCTTTTTATGATCATATAATTAATGTACTATAGTTCTCAGAAGAAATATATGAATATTTTTATAGGATAATTTGATATACCAAATTTATAAGGTACAGATTCATGGTTAAGAAATTTAACTTAATATGTACTTGATTGTTTTTCATAACATTGTTAACATTTTTATTGACTATTCTTTAAAAGCATTGTTTCTTTTAAGTCAAGATTAATCTCTTCTGTCAGTCTTTGAAGGTTTTGTGTGTGCACATGATCTCAGGTCTGATGCTGAGCGGTGTGCTCAACAATTTGCCCTAAAACACCTACCTGTAGGAAGATGGTGCACATTTTGTAAGCTTATTGTTAACATGGGCCAAAACAACAGAATTGATCACGTTCTCTTTGGTTATCATGTACACACATAGTGTGAATAATTCTACATTTTTTAAAATAAGTTCTGGCATTTTACAGATTTATACTCTCAACATTAGGGTAATACACTTTATTTTTTGATTGTTGTATGACAACTAAATGGCAAATGATTCCAGTATTTTTTAAATCAGAAGCATTTGGGTAATTTTCAAATAATGGTAAACTCTGACAGCAGCCATTATTTCTGCTTCCACTCATGTTTCCCCATTGTAATAGAGAAGTTTTGAGAGGGAATTACTTTGTTAATGGGATTGTCTGCCTGTTATTTTAATTAAGGTTACTTCTTACTACATTTGCCTTAAATACTGCTTTTCTAATGCACTTTGTGGCATTCAAGGTTTTCAAAGAAACTTTTATAGTCAATCTGGTTTATTTAGTCCATTATGTTGGTACTTAATGAAAGCTTCTTTTCTTCCCAAATATATTTACCATCTTTGGATTTATATAAATCAAAATTAGTTTCTCTTACACTTTTGAACTCTATATATGCAAGTTCAAATAACTCAAGATAGTTTCTTATATAAATGTAATTTAATTTATTTACTCTTCTATGCAGTTCTCTAGATTTAAAAGAATTAGCACAATCTTATAAAGGGTGTTGAAGCTCTTATCCTGCACTGTCATTAAATGTAAGGTTTGCTTTGTATTTTTGCAGTGTTTTTACCTGGGGATGAGATGAATAAGTATTAATTTTGTGACTATGGTATATGTTAATTTTTAAGCACTGTAAAATGATTGTTCAGTGAAATTCAAACTTGTATGTCATTAAAAGTAATGAGAGAAAAGAGATGAAACCAGTTGGACTGGGGACTATTTGCTTTTTTCTCCCTCAAGCTTAGGAAAGAAAACCTGTCTTCAACACAGTTCTTCACTGCTGTTTGGTCTATTTTGTGGGTGGTTTTTTTTTCTAAAGTGCTCAAGTAACTAGTTACTGAGTTTTATAAGCTTGTATGTGTCTGTTTTGATTAAGTTGTGTGAAAGAGAACAGGAAAAAATTCAGGGAGAGTAATTTAACATCAACCTTAGTTGACAGAAGTACTCAGATTATTCAGTTCAAGATCCTCCTATTACTGAGTTTGCCCAGTAACCCTGGACCTAGAATTGTGCCACAGCCTTCTGGAGTCGGAAGGCTTTAGGCAATACTAGTAGTTTTCTTACCCTTCCTACTTCCCACTCTTTGTTCCTCTTCTCTCAAGGATACTGAGGTAAGAAATCGGGAACGTAGACAAAGTGGTTGTATGAGAGTAACTATAAGTAAATAACAGTACAGATGAGCGTGTATTATGTACATCATTTAAAATTATGCAAATTAGTAATATACTCAGGGTCCACTAAATTACTTCAATATGTTGCTGGATTTACTTTGTTCCTTGGCTAGAAAAGATTCTTAACAGGAATTCATGTTCTATTAAGCCAAACTTTCTATGTTCTAGAAGATGTTGGGTTATGTGTAAATTATTTAAAAACTTAGATTTTTACTTCCAGGAATGCTGTTCATTTTTAAGGTACTATGCAGGATGATATATTGGGTAACACCAATTTTGTAAGTATGTAAATTTGACATAAATAAATAATACCTCTACTTATTTCCCAGAGGTGTATAGTGATTTTTTAAATGTGTATGCATATTAATATCATATAAGAAGGACCCATATTCCCTTTTTTGTTGCAACTGGCTACCAAGAATTCTTATAGAATAGCAACTTCCAAACTTCAAACACCATCTTTCAAGTGGAAACTAACATTCAGATACTCCCGAGTTGCTAACTTTAGGGTTAGAGAACTCAGAATATTCAGGGAAGAAGATGCACTGGAGAGAGTTAATAGACAAAAAGTTAAGGCCTGTGTTCACGAGGAGACCTTGGTGGCTGGATTTAGTTTCCCCTCGACCTCCACCTTTGAGGAAGAAGTGTAGTTGTTATTGAGTTTGTTACTCAGCATCTGTGATCCCAGGAGGAGAGGTTTTCCTTTTGATTTGGCACAGGAAAGGGGTATTGTAATGAAATACTGGTTTGGAGGTTTGGGATTTTTTGCCAAAAACAACAACAATGTTGTCAGTAGACTAGAAAAACACCAGTTGAGGCCCAGGAAACTGTTAAATTTATACTTTTCCAGAATTAACTAGAGGGAGAGAGAAAAGTTTTGGAAAGACAAAATTGGGAAAGCTGATGTGAAGGCGATTTTAAAAATTTACTGATGAAGGAAATCTTCTAAATGATCAAGAATGTAAAGCAGTAAGAAAGGAACTAATATTTATGTAATAAGTACCTTTGTTGGTTGGGCGTTGGAACTTATTTTTATAGGTTAGATCACGGAAAACAGGCCAAGCTACTTACCCAGTGTCATCACAACAGCTGAACTACAGAGATAGAAGTCCAATGGTGTGTGAGTTACTCTAAACCAGCTATTTTCAATTAGTGATGTGCCACAATATTTAAAACATGCACTACCTATTTAGTCAGGGGCACTGGCCTCTTTGCCCTTAGATTGTCAAATAAAAAAATGACAACAGCCAACACAATAGTGGTCCAGTGTGAGTGAATCCAAATTATACTTTTTTTTTGGTCAGATCAGCAAAAAAAATTTAGTGTGCCACAGAATTTTAGTAATTTAGCTGTTCATGTGTGAGATGAAAAAGGTTGAAAATCGCTGCTCTACACCATTCTCTTCCAAACATCCTAAGTTTTGGTTTTAGGAAGTTATGGGTGCATAATTAATCTTATAAATGCTGTTGAATTCAACTTAATTCACATAACAGCCTGAGGACTTTCCTCATATACTTTTAATTTTATAATATTTTGTTTAAGGAAAACTTTACTCCCTGTTTTTGAAAGTGATGTTTTGAGCCTTACTGCTAATATGAGGATATATTTGTGATATTTGAATATTATGTTCCCAAATTTGGGAAATCATAAACTAGGTTTACCTCCAGAAATGTTATAACTAGCCTTCAAGCAAGGTACTTCTAAAATACTTTGAGGCTTTTCCAGGAACCATGCTTTGAGAACCACTGTTATCATACACTTCCTGACTCATTCTGCATGTCCTAAGATATTTTAGAGTGATGTCACCAAGATGGTGACATAGGTCATTCCTGACTTTGTTCCCTCTCACAAGAAGAGGTAACAACCACTATTCAATTACAAGACACCACTGAGAGAATCCTAGAACATGGTGAGGCTGGAGCACCTTCCTGCATCAGAGACCAAGGCCAATCAAATTAGAAGGGTAAGAGGAGGGGCTATAGGTTGACCACATGGTCCTTCCCCCAGGCCAACATAGCACTATGCCAAGGAGTACCCCCTGGGTCTGCAGTTCCCTTCAGGGGGAAAAGAACTCAGTGTGGATATCCAGCTTTCCCAGTGTTGGGGGTCACCTAGGAGCCCCTATTTCAGTCTTCATGGAAATTGCAGAGAAATCTGCAGAGCTTAACTGTTGGGAACCTGTGACAGAGAAGTGGGAAGGGTCTTGCAATAACCAGCATTTGGATCTTGGCCTCCCGAGTGCCTGCCTGCAGCACCCAAATAGTTATCCAAACCAGTGGCTTTGCTAATCTGCAAAACCAAGTTGGTGGCACAGTCTGACCAGGGAATTTGGCAGGGTACAGATATGCCTAAATTGGATCCCCGAATGAATAGCCTCATGAGCCCTGGAGCCTATTCTGCTTCCATCCAGGTGGGGGAGCAGAGTAATAGTAGAGCCCATTACTAAGAGTAGCTCCTGGCTCCATCTGAACAGAAAAGCAGGCAAGAGTACCTGGAAGCTGTGCAGCCTGGCAATACTCGAACACAGTATAGAATGCACAGGTGATTTTGCACAGAACAAAGGCAAAAGTAGTGCTGGGTGTGGAGGGTTGGGATCTCCCTCCTCCCAGGCAGGGGAGCTAATTCACTTCCTACCAGAAAGTCTGGGAAAACCTGGGAGGCTGCTTGGAGCAGGCCCTCCCCTCAGGGGAGCTGAGAATATCCCCACCCCCCATCAAGTGAAGCTCTCAGGCCTGCCCAACTAGAAAGCCTGGCTGTACACCTAGAAAGCTAAGTAGCCCATCGATATTGGAGCAGAGTCCAGCAGGCAGAGCTGACAGTCTGCAGAGCCAAGCCAGGAGCCCCGTTTGGCCAGGGAAATTGAGGCATGGGTCAGCTTGAGTCCATACCATAAACAAAGAGCCTGCTGGCTTTGGAGCTGGTTCTCCCATTGCCTGCACAGGGAAACTAGTTTGTAACCTCACTTATTGCTGAGCGCACCCAGCCACGGAACTTAACCAGAGCGTATGGGAAACTGAAGCCCATCCAACAACCCTACTTACAGTAGAACTTGAACAGAGCATAGCCAGTGGCTTTCCCTATTTGCAGAGCAAAACTGGTGGCCTTGTCTGGCCAGAGAATTTAGTACACACCCTTGCCTGATTCAAGTCCCCAGTCAACAAGCTGTGCATGCTTTGGGCCCCATCCTACTCCCCCACCAGGGCATGGAAGCTAATTTATAGCCCCACCTACTACTGAGTATAGTGCCCAGTCCCGAATGTCTATTAAGCCTGGTTAGAGAACCCAGGCAACTTGTGGAACCCATCCTACCGCCTCGCTTGGGCAGAGAACCAATCCAGTAGTCTCATCCAAGTGTCTCAGACAGTGGCATCTCCACCCCACCCCCAGCTTAGAGCTCAAGAAGTGGGCTCACTCAAAAATAGACCCTGATGATAAGCCCCACCACCTCAAGGACGTTACCAGCAGACACATCCAGAAACCGTCAACTGAGCTTAAATGGTGACAAAGTATCTCTGTGAAAGCAAACTATAAAGTCTGGAACAGAAATTACTTAAATGCACAAATACCAAAGTAAGGAACTAAGAATCACAAAAAATCAGGTAATATGACACCACCAAAGGAAAATAATAAAGCTTCAATAACTAACCCCAAAGAAATGGAAATACATGAACTGTCAGACAGAAATCCAGAATAATTTTCTTAAAGATGTTTAGTGAACAAGAACACAGACAACTAAATGAATTAGGGAAACAATGCATGAACAAAACAAGTTCAACAGAGTAACTCAAAAAAGAAAAAAGAAAAACCCAAACAATTCCTAGAGCTGAAAAAATACAGGGACTGAAAAATTCAATCGAGAGCTTCAAAAACATACTTGCAATGCAGAAGAAACACTCTGGCCTAAAATAGACAACAATTGAGATTACCCAGTCAGAGGAGCAAAAAAAAAAAAGAGGGTGAGGGGTGGGAAAATGAGACAGAATGAAGAATGCCTGTGGAAATAACGGGACACTATCAAAAGAAACAATACCTGCACTGTGAAAATTCCAGAAGAGAGAGAAAGGGACGGAAAGTATATTTAAAGCAATCAAGTCTGAAAACTTCCCCCACCTGGGGAAAGAGATGGACGTCCATGAGGCTCAAAGGACCCAAAGAGATTGATCCAAATAGGAATATACTGAGATACATCATCATTAAATTGTGAAACATCAAAGACTAAGAAATAATTTTGAAAACAGCCAGAGAAAAGTTACAAGGGAATCTCCGTGAGACTATCGATGTTTAATACACAGAAATGTTTCAGGACAGGATAGAAAGGGATGATATATTCAAAATATTGGAAGAAACTCAACCAGGAATTCTATACCCAGCAAAGCTGTTCTTAAGAAATGAAGGAAAGATAGACTTTCTGGAACAAACAAAAGCTAAGGGAGTTCATCACCTGCCTTGTGAGTAATGCCAAAAGGAGTTGGAAGTAAAAGGACACCAATTAACATCATAAAAACAAAGTAGTGTAAAATTCACTGGTAATAGTAAATAATATAGTCAAAATTAGATTCTGTAAATGGTAATTGTGCGTAATGCACTTACAACTCTATAGTTTAAAAAATTTTTAATGGGAGCTGCCTATCAAGGCGGCAGAGCCGGTAAATGTAGTCACATCCTCCCACAACCATATCAAATCACAACTAAACAGAACCACCGTCATTCAGAACTACCTAAGATCTAGCAGAAGAGAAGGCCTGTAACTAAGGATATAAAGAAGTCACATGGAGACTAATAGGAGGGGTGGAGACACGTAATGAGCTGGATCCTCACCCCCCTGTGGTGGTGAAAAATTGGGAGGGTTGCCGGCCGGGTGTGGCTCAGTGGTTGAGCATCGACCTGGGATCCAGAAGACCAGGGTTCAATTCCCAATCAGGGCACATGCCTGGGTTGCGGGCTCGATCAGTGACTCATCATTGATGTTTTTGGTTTTTTTTAAAATATACCTTTATTGATTTCAGAGAGAGGAAAGGAGAGGGAGAGAGAGAGAGAGAGAACCATCAATGATGAGAGAGTCATTGATCGAGTCTGCAACCGGGGCATGTGCCCTGACCGGGAATTGAACCCCGATCGCCTGGATCCTAGGTAGACGCTCAACCGCTGAGCCACGCCCGGCCGGGCTCATCACTGATGTTTCTCTCTCTCTCTCCCTCTCCTTTCCTCTCTCTGAAATCAACAAAGATACATTAAAAAAAAATAAAAATAAAAAATTGGGAGGGTTATCTCAGCTGCAGAGGACCTGCTGAGGAACAAGGGGCCCCAGCCCCACATGAGGCCC